ATGATACAAGAAAGCTCACTATTGCAGTCAAGGTATAAGTACTAAGTTTGCAACAGCTTGACATTTAACGAACATTAACTTATCATCTACAAACCAACCTAGCTTGACATTGCGAAGATGATGTAGGTAATGGCCTCTCTCTCTCTTTTGAAAAATCAGAAAATCAGTCAAAATGCTTGAAAAGAAAGAGATTAAAAATTCCCTGCTGGCCAGTTTATCATTTGACAGAGGCAGTAAACATAATGACAAGCATAATGTCAGATATATTATAGTTTTTGCCGTCACTTTCGAAATAGTTACACAAGGGATATACTCATTCAATCAACTGCTTAGTGTTGAAAATAAGAAATGAATTAGTTGTTTTGTGAGTTGCGATATCCCTTTAAAAAATTTAGTCTTGGGATTTACTTCCTCACTGAAGTCATTGCTTAATGTTATGAAATGCATGGAGTTTTACATCCTTATTTTCTCCACAAGATAGGACAATTTAAGAGGAGAAGATGATAAGCTGACAATATTCCATATCTGACAAGTTCTTGGCTGACAATTGTACAACTAGTCCATAAGCTGACAACACTTCAGAGTCCATAAGCTGACAAAGGTACAACAGTCTGTTAGCTGACAATTGTACAACAGAATCCATAAGCTGATAAAGGTACAACATAGTCTGTTAGCTGACAATTACATGACAAAATCAATAAGCTGACAATTGTACAACAGAGTCCATAAGCTGACAAAGGTACAACAGAGTCTGTTAGCTGACAATTGTACAACAAAATCAATAAGCTGACAATTGTACAACAAAATCAATAAGCTGACAATTGTACAACAGAGTCTGTTAGCTGACAATTGTACAACAAAGTTTAAAAGCTGGCAATAGTTCATTAGCTGACAACAGTTACTAAAAAGCTAACAATTGTACAGTCCAGTCCAGTACTTGATCAAAAGAAGATCAATGACAATGACAAATTCATTATGATGATTGAGATATTGATTGCTTAAGTCTCATCAATAATGTATATAGATATTACAACAATAAAACCACATTAAACCATCAAATTCACAGTGGACTCGTAATGATTTATTTAAATATTTATTGATATGTTCTAAAACTTTTATTTCTGTCTTTCAAAACCTCAATATAGTTGAACCCAGTGTAAACTTTAGTTTAATTAATTTAATAAAATTGTGTTTTGAAAAGAAAATTGTGTTTTGAAAACAACTTTAGATATTTGGAAAACATCTTAGTTAAACAATTTTGTGTTTCTGAAAACAACTTCACAACACATTTAGTGTTTCCACGACAACTGAAGTGTTACCAAAACAACTTTGGAAAACAACTTAGTGTTTGAAAAGAACTTAGTGTTACAGAAAACAATTTAAGTGTTTGGAAAAGAGCATTGTGTTTCCGAAAACAACTTCACAAAACACTTAATTTTTTTCGTGTTTCCAAAACAACTTAGACGTTTTAAGACAAGACTTAATGAAAGCACTTGGTACGAAAACATTTTAGTGATATAACAACAGTGTTACTAAAACAACTCAGTGTTATGATGGGTACGATGATAAGGGGAATAAAATCAAAGTTTTAGCCTACCTTCTCGTGACATTCCAACTTCGAAACATTTTCTCAATCTACAGAATTGACAGCTATTCCGTGTAAAAGGCGTAATTTCACATTTTTCTTCATTGGCACATTTATGTGTCATACCCTGGGTGATACAGCGTCGAAAAAATCCCTGGAAAAAAGAGATGAAATTTGGCACCCTACTTTTTCGAAACAGACTGGGCTATTGAAAACTGCCCTCTACAACAAGTTGGGGCATCTTTTACATGGACAGCTTGCAGAAC